GCGGCCGCATTCTGGACCAGCTGAAGCCTCCAGATGCTCCTCATAGGGAGCCCCATGTAAAGAGCATTACAGTAGTCCAGGCGGGAGGTGACGAGGGCCTGAGTGACTGTGCGCAAAGCATCCCGGTCCAGAAAAGGGCGCAACTGGTAGATCAGGCGAACCTGATAAAACGCCCCCCTGGTCACGGCCGACAAATGGTTGTTGATTCTAGGGGTCTTTGTCTTCCTAATCCCATCAGCTCTAAGCTTCCTGGCTCCAGTCTTTCTGAAAGGATTACCACATCTGCATTTCTACAGAGAGAGAATCTAGAACTAAGGAGAAACTTCCTGACGGTTAGAACAATTAACCAGTGGAACCACCTACCTCCAGAAGCTGTGAATGCTCCAACACTGGAGAGGAAAAAACAAGGTAAAAACGATCTTAACATCACCACGATGTAAAAAAAAAGATGTTGAGACTCTAGAAAGAGTGCAGAGAAGAGCAACGAAGATGATTAGGGGACTGGAGGCTAAAGCATATAAGGGACGGTTGCTGGAATTGGGTATGTCTAGTTTAATGAAGAGAAGGACGAGGGAGGACAGGATAGCAGCCTTCCAGTATCTCAGGGGCTGCCCCAAAGAAGAGGGAGTCAAGCTATTCTCCAAAGTGCCCGAAGGCAGGACAAGAAGCAACGGATGGAAACTAATCAAGGAGAGAAACAACCTAGAACTAAGGAGAAACTTCCTGACAGTGAGAACAATTAACCAGTGGAACTACCTGCCTCCAGAAGCAGTGAATGGTCCAACACTGGAGGTTTTTAAGAAGAGACTGGACAGCCATTTGTCCGAAATGGTATAGGGTTTCCTGCCTGAGCAGGGGGTTGGACTAGATGACCTCCAAGGTCCCTTCCAACTTTGCTACTACTACTACTACTACTACTATTATTATTATTATTATTATTATTATTATTATTATTATTATTATTATTATTATTATTATTATTATTATTATTATTATTATTATTATTATTATAGAAATGGGAGGTTGTTTCTGCCTCTGCCTTTTCCATGATTCATTTTAGGGAAATATAATATTCTGCCTTTTTAATGTTCCCTAAATAAAATATTTCTTTCTCGGGGGGGGGGAGGGTTGAGCTGTCTCCCCACAACTTTGTCCTCCCCCATTTTCTTTATTAGCGTGCCAAGGACACCTGGGCTGAATTCTCGGACAGGTTTATTTAAATCTTCTGACCGCAGGAAAAAAAAATCTTTTTATTTCTCTGATCTCTCCAACCGCTACAGATCAGGCGATTCCCTCTCACCGCTGGGGAGGCTGCGTCCCGCCCAGCCGGTCCCAAAGATCAGAGGAAGCGTGTGGGCAACGGAGATGTGAATTCTTCATGCGATTAAAGATTTTTTTTCTTTTCTTGTCTCTTCCTCTGCAGAAACCAGCGGGAAGGGAAGGAGCATAAAAGCTTCTGGGGGGCAGAAGTTAAAAGGATGGGTCCATTAGGCAATGGTCTGCAATTCTCTTCTCTGTTTTCCTGGCGTTCGGGTCAGTTCCCTAATTATACAAGCCATTGGTGTATAAAATGAGGGCAAACTCCACTCCCTATTAGGACTGATGATGTTACCTAGTTGGGTAGTGAAACGTCTGCAAGAAAACAGCCAAGCTCAGAGACCACCCAGGACCCCACAGTCTTTTTTCTTCTTCTTCTTCTCCTCCTCCTCCTCCTCCTCCTCCTCCTCCTCCTCCTCCTCCTCCTCCTCCTCCTCCTCCTCCTCCTCCTCCTCCTCCTCCTCCTCCCTTTCTCTTTCTCCACATACCCCACTCCCTCCTAACACTGATGATGTTACCTAGTTGGGTCGAGAAATGTCTGCAAGAAAACAGCAAAGCTTAGAAAACACCAAGGAACCGACAGTTTTCCTCCTCCTCCTCCTCCTCCTCCTCCTCCTCCCTTTCTCTTTCTTCACATACCCCACTCCCTCCTAACACTGATGATATTACCTAGTTGGGTAGTGAAATGTCTGCAAGAAAACAGCCAAGCTCAGAGAGCACCCGGGACCCCACAGTCTTTTTTCTTCTTCTTCTTCTCCTCCTCCTCCTCCTCCTCCTCCTCCCTTTCTCTTTCTCCACATACCCCACTCCCTCCTAACACTGATGATATTACCTAGTTGGGTAGTGAAATGTCTGCAAGAAAACAGCCAAGCTCAGAGAGCACCCAGGACCCCACAGTCCTCCCCCTCCTCCCTCCCTACTTTCTTTCCCCCTCCTCCTGCTCCTCCTCCTCCCTCCTCCCACTGATAACGTTACCCACTTGGGTCCTGAAACATCTGCCAGAAAACAGCCAAGCTCAGAGAGCACCAAGGACCCCACAGTCCTCCTCCTCCCTCCCTCCCTCCCTCCCTACTTTCCTCCTCCTCCTCTTCCTCCTCCTCCTCCCTCCTAGTACTGATAACGTTACCTACTTAGGTCCTGAAACATCTGCCAGGCTCCCAGAAAATTCAGTGGGATGCGCAAGGACAACCTTTGCAGGTGAGCAGACTGAAAATCAGGAAGCTTGACCAGGTGAGTGTTGGCCCATGAGGGTCAACCTAGAAGACGAGAAGAGGAGTCGCTCCTTCATTTTCCCGGAGCAGGGGGTCTTCCAACTTGGCCCTTGGATGACTTGTGGACTTCGACTCCCAGAATTCCTCAGCCAGGCACGCGTGCCTGGCTGAGGAATTCTGGGAGTTGAAGTCCACAAGTCATCCAAGGGCCAAGTTGGAAGACCCCCTGGACTTCAACTCCCAGAATTCCTCAGCTAGGCAGGCTGGCTGAGGAATTCTGGGAGTTGAAGTCCACAAGTCATCCGAGGGCCAAGTTGGAAGACCCCTGTCCTGGAGGGTCCCTGGGGCCGTTGGGAGCCTAACCAAGGAAGCCAGGCAGCCAAAGATGGCTAGGAGTTCAGTTGCCCACAACACCAGCTGTGCCACCCCCTTCAGAGCTTGGAGGAGATTGCCAGGGGGGGTCTCCTCCCTCCCACTCAACGCCCCTCATCCCCAGCGGCCAAGAACAATGGATCCTCTGGAAGGGAGCGTTCCCAACAGAGGCTTCTCCCCTGAATTCCGGGGTTTCTTTGGGACCCCCCCCAGAATGGACCCTGACTTCTTTGGGGGAACTTAAGCCTCTCCATTCCCTGGGCGCTTTTCAGTGGCTACAATAGGTTGGCCGATGCTGCTCACCAGACAGTCAAATTACATATTTAATTCTAGTTTGCCCTTCAGCAAATGGCAGAACGGGCTAGGGACATCCAGTCACATTGTTGGAAAGAAAAGAAAGAAAGAAAGAAAGAAAGAAAGAAAGAAAGAAAGAAAGAAAGAAAGAAAGAGAAGGAAGGAAGGAAGGAAGGAAGAAAGAAAGAAAGAAAGAAAGAAAGAAAGAAAGAAAGAAAGAAAGAAAGAAAGAAAGAAAGAAAGAAAGAAAGAAAGAAAGACTTTGGATCCGAGGCATCCTGGATCTGGAGAGTCTTCATTTTTAACTCTAGACACAGTAGAGTTTGTGCAATTCGGAGATAGTTGTGGACTTAGGATGGGAGGGAGAAAGGAAGGGAAATAGAAAGAAAAAGAAAGAAAGAAAGAAAGAAAGAAACAAACAAACAAAAAAGTAAAAAAGAAAGAAAGAACGGAAGAAAGAAAGAAAGAAAGAAAGAAAAAAAGAAAGGCAAAGAAGAGAAAAAGAAAAGAAAAAAAGGAACAAAAAAAAAAAGAAAAGAAACATCGAAGAGCTCCAGATTGAAACTAGGAAAGTCCTTGTTGCATCCAAGTTTCACTCCAATTCCTGCCAAGCAATCCAGTTCCGTCCATTGGGCCGAGCCGAAACCCAGAGTGCCGATCCCACCCACCCCCATATCCAGGGTGTGATTAACTGGCGGGTCCTGGAGATGCCCCCCTTTTTTCTTCCTCTTCCTCCTCTTCATCCTCCTTTCGAACCAGGAGTAAATAGACGATGCAGAAGGAGAGACAGCAGCAGGTTTCGAATAAAAGCTGGATGCCCACAAACCTGGGGAGGGGGGATGTCAAAAAAACCAGAGTCATTGGGTGGGCATGGCCGGCTCTACATCATTCGTGTCAAGGGTGCCTGTGGGGGCCTGGGCAGGAGTGGGACAGATCTGAGGGTCTCTGGCAGAAGGGGGTGGGACAGGGGCAAGCGCCAAGGCATGGTCCATTTCTTCGTTCCTCACAAAGGGTGACCCCTCCCCAGCATGCACCCAGGGGACGGGGTCGACACGGCAGGGGACGGTCCCTCGCTGTTTCCAGACGGCCTTGTGGAGCTAAGACTGAATGTGTTTCAGCATAGATGGCCACCACAAAATTGTACATTGGTTCCCGGCCGGACAGGGCCAGGGCCAAGGCAGCGGGGGCCGTTCCCTCACTGTTTCCAGAATGGCTTTGCGGGCCACATGAAACCACTTCGCGGGCTGCCTCCGGCCCCCGGGCCTTGTGTTTGACATGTCTGCCCTACACAAACCGAGATCCTTTGCGTGCTGCTTATCTCCTTGGTCCTGCGCAGGGCCAACTGATGTCCGGCGATTAAGACGAAGGAAGGAGGCCCGGATCGAGCAAAGGAAGAGAGAGGACTCACATTTTCCGGAATGCCGTGTGGTTGTAGTATCGACAACCTGCTCTCTTTTTGCACTTATACTGCCACAGGAGACAGGTTGTGTCGATGGCACTGCCGTAGACCACGGGAGCAGGCAGCCAGGCTGGGGAAGAAGCAAAGAATACATACAGAGAGTCAACAACTCATTTAATTTCTGTTTGAGGTTACAACAATGCTGGAAAAAGTGACCTAAATCCGTTTTTCTCACTTATGACCATTGCAGCATCCCTACGGTCAGATGATCAAAATTCAGATGTTGGGCAACTGACTTGTATTTATGACAGTTGCAGCATCCCGGGGTCATGTGATCCCTTTTGTGACCTTCTGACCAGCAAAGTCAATGGGGGGAAGCCGGATTCGCATAATGACCGTGTTGCTATTCTAACAACGGCGGTGATTCACTTAACCACAGTGGCAAAGGAAGGTCGTAAAATGGGGCACAGCTCAGTTAACCAATATCTCACTTAGCGACAGAAAGGTGGGGCTCGAGGATGGTCATAAGTGGAGGACCCTTGTGCCCCTGTTACTGAGGGGTAAGTTGCACCCCCTAGTGACAGATTTTATCTTCCTGGGCTCCAACATCCCCGCAGATGGGGACTGCAGCCAAGAAATCAAAAGACGCTTGCTCCTGGGGAGGAAAGCCATGGCAAATCTAGACAGCATACTAAAAAGCAGAGACGTCACCCTGCCAACAAAAGTGCGTAGAGTCAAGGCCATGGTTTTCCCAGTTGCAACGTATGGCTGTGAAAGTTGGACCGTAAGAAAGGCTGAGCGCCAAAGAATGGAGGCCTTTGAACTCTGGTGCTGGAGAAGACTCCTGCGAGTCCCCTGGACTGCAAGGCGATCCAACCGGTCGGTCCTAGAGGAGATCAACCCCGACTGCTCTTTAGAAGGCCAGATCCTGAAGTGGAAACTCAAGGACTTTGGCCACCTGATGAGAAGGAAGGACTCCCTGGAGAAGAGTCTAATAATGCTGGGAAAGATGGAGGGCAAGAGAAGAAAGGGACGACAGAGAAGGAGGTGGCTGGATGGAGTCCCTGAAGCAGGAGGCGTGAGCTTCAATGGACTCCAGAAGATGGTAGAGGACAGGAAGGCCTGGAGGAACGTTGTCCGTGGGGTCGCGATGGGTCGGACACGACTTTGCAACTAACAACAAGTGCCACCCCGGGGCTTCATCCGAAAAGGCCTCCGGGGTTGGTCCACTTGTAGCCGGGAAAAAATGTGGACTTCGGTTCCTTCCTCTCCTGCTCCGGAGCTGTCCGAGGTGCTGAAGCTGCGGGCGGCTGGATCCGCTCAACGCGGGAGTTCGGCCCTTGCTGCTCTCGCGTCCAAGCCTGGGGGGGAAGGCGGGGGGGGGATGTCCTGGGCCTTTGCTGTGTCTGTAATCTAAAAGTCCCCTTCCATCTAGATATGACAAGCAGGAAGGAAGGAGTGGAAGGAAAGAAGGAGGGAGGGGAGGGAGGGAGGGAAGGAGGAAGGAAGAGGGAGGGAAGGAACGAAGGAACGAAGGAATGGGAAGGGTGGGAGGAAGGGAAGGGAAGAAGGAGAAAAGAAGAAGGGGCTAAGGAAGGAACAAAGGAAGAAATGGGAAGGGGAGGGGAGGGAGAAAGGAAGAAGGGAGGGAGGGAGCGAGGGAAGAAGGAGGAAGGAAGAGGGAGGGAAGGAATGAAAGAATGAAGAAATAAAAGGAAAGGGTGGGAGGAAGGGAAGGGAAGAAGGAGAAAGGAAGGGGGCTAAGGAAGGAAGGAAGGAAGGGAAGGAGGGGAGGAAGGAAGGAAGGAGAGGAGGGGAGGGGAGGAAGGAAGGAAGGAGAGGAGGGGAGGAAGGAAGGAAGGAAGGAGGGAAGGGGAGGGAAGGGGAGATGGAGGAAGGAAGGAAGGAGGAAAGAAGGGAAGGAGGGAAGGGAGGAGGAAGGGAAGGAAGAAAGGAAGGAAGAAAAGGGAAGGGGAGGGAGAAAGGGAAGGTAACGAGGGAGGGAGGAAAAGGAGGAGGGAGGGAAGGAAGGAATAAAGGGAGAAAAGGGGAAGTGAAGAAGGAGGAAGGAAGGAAGGAAGGAAGGAAGGAAGGAAACCTAGGGCTGGCCCTTCCCCTCCTTTGTTCCTTCCTTCCTTCCCTCCCTCTTCCTTCCTCCTTCTTCCCTCCCTCTCTTCTTTCCCTCCCTTCCCTTCCCTCCCTGTAGGAATAACCTATAGCTGCCTAACAGTCAGAGAAGGAAATGTAGGAAGCCCCCACCCTCACTGACCAGGCTGCAGACCCAGAAGGCGGGAGACTCGCACCTTCCGACTTGCAAGTTTCCCTAGGGCAAACATAGGCAACCTTGGCTCTTTTATGACTCGTGGACTTCAACTCCCAGAATTCCTGAGCCAGCATGCCTCAGCTTGGAAACCTCTCCCTTTCCCCTCAGCGTGGCTGGTTCAGGAATTCTGGGAGTTGAAGTCCACAAGTCATAAAAGAGCCAAGGTTGCCTACCCCTGGACTAGGCGGAGGTAGGGTGGAGAATGCCCACCCATTGCCGGTCTGATTTGTAAAACTTCATACCTTTGTTTCATCCCAAGAGATAGAGATCTGCTTCATAGATTGCTAAATTCCGCACAGATCCCGGTGCCAGCCTAGAATTCCCAATGGAACCGGCCTTGCCCCTTGACTTACCGAGAACTCTCAAGAGCAGAAATTGTATGCCGAGGGCGAAGGATTTGTCTTGCCTCTTGACGCTCCTGAAACCACGAAGAAAAGGATTTGGTGGGGAAGAAATAACTGTGGCTCTCCGGGGATGCCAATTGGAGGATCCACGGCGGTTTTACACACACTTTGCTGTGGCTTCTCGGCATGGGAACAGTGTGGGACTCAGAACAGTTAGAAATATTTTGGAGAACACCATGCTCCTTGTCTCAAAGGTGTTTCTTCAAAATGCAGCTGGACATTTTTTTCTTGGAGGAGGAGGAGGAGAAGGAGGAGGAGGAGGAGGAGGAGGAGAAGGAGGAGGAGGAGGAAAGAAGAAGAAGAAGAAGAAGAAGAAGAAGAAGAAGAAGAAGAAGAA